GGATGGGAGACAGAATCCTCTTTGACTTGATGAAAGTAGAAAGAGTCCTCAGTGTGAAGCTTCTCACTCAGTGTGGGGCTTCTCAGGAATACCAGGGGTAAGAGCAGCTGCCTGCAAAGACCACCATAGTGACAGGAGCTGGTGGTATCTTCGGAGGAGGAAGATGGAGAAAACCTCAGAGTCTGGCTTGGTCCAGATGCTCCCTCCACAAGACTCCCCAGTAATAGAAGAGCTTTCCTGCACTTCTGGTGGCTGGGAGCCTGAGAGTTTGCTGAAGACAGAGAAAGTCAAACCACACCCCTGGGGGGTGAGGTAGGGAGTTCAGGGGAGATGGAGTCACCAGTTGCCCTTGCTTGAGGCTTCCACCCAGGCAGGGTCCTACCTCCAGCCAGTATCCTGAACTACATCAGCTGCTGCAGGCAGAGTGACTCAATCCTGCCTCAGTTACCAGAGACCCAAGATTCTGGTATTTCAAGACTTGCCAGAGACAAGACCCCTGCAGACCTGCTTGCTGTCAAAGGGCCTCTTGTCCTGGGCACTCTAAAGCCTGGTGAGAGTTTTTGAGCTTGACCAATTTTTCCATTGACACCCTGATACCTCCAAAAGCTCAGGGCTGTAATACCTGCAACCACCCCAGTGGGCACCCCAAAGCCTCTTGAGGAATTCTGTTGACATTCTTTTGCCTTTGAGACTCATGGAGTTCTTTATTCCTGCCTGACAAGTAAAGTTACCCTTATTTTTCCCTTTGCTGTCTGCCTGTTCCATTCTTGGAGGGAAGGAAGACAAAACACCTCTGTCATAGACAGGAGACAGCTTGTACTTACCCATTCAGGCTTTGGGCCTCCAACTCTTCAGACATCCGTTTTTCCCAGACTGAAGTGTATAGGACATATTTGATATGCTAGATGGAACTAGGGGGACTTGACAAATGAAAGCAGTCACTAGCTACTGTCTGGAAACACCATACATGACAATGAATAGTGATCTGCAGACCACATCAACATCATCTGTCTGGTCACCAGCTCTCTCATTATTTATTTACTCTGGGAGAATTTCAGACATGTGTTATGATCATATCCTCTCATCTCTTTCTCTATTGCTCTCCTTGGATCTCCCTGGCACAACCTTCCTGCCACAGCTTCCTCCTTGTCTTTCCAGATCCTGACATCTGATCCATTTCCAAATCATGTTGGTTCCTTTTCCCAAATATTGGCTTGCATTTGTTCCCAATGTCCTTCGTTGTGGTTGATATATTGTACCCCCCACCCACAATAAACTTATCTAGTGGCTCGACATAGAGGCCAGACAGCGGTGGCACACATGCCTTTAATCCTATCACTTGGGAGGCAGAGATCTGTCTGGATCTCTTTGAGTTCAAAGCCACACTGGGAACAGAGCCAGGCATAGTGGCACATACCTTTAATCCCAGTACTTGACTTGAGATCTCATACCTTTGCTTGGGAAACACACACACCTTTAATCCCAGGAAGTGATGGCAGGAAGCAGAAAGGTATATAAGGTGTGAAGACCAGGAACTAGAGGCTTTTAAGCAGTTCATCTGAGACCCTCAGGGGCTGTCAGTCTGAGGATTCGTAGAAACAGGATTGTCTGAGGAGTTGGAGAGGTGAGCTTGGCTGCGGCTTGTTCTGCTTCTCTGATCTTTCAGTATTCACCCCAATATCTGGCTCCAGGTTATTAATAAGACTGTTTACAATTCATCTTACACTCTCTTGTTGCCACCTACCTGGGAAGTATACCTTCAATCATAACACAAATCATTTTAGTGCCACTATTGCTTACTAAGTGGGGTGGGAGTGGGGGACATGCACACCTAATGCATAGCAGTGAACAAAATCTACAAGGTCCTTCAACACGCAGTCATGCAGTACCAGTTGCTTTTTTTCCCCCCAACAGCTGTCTGCATGAGCAGAAGACTATACCCATGTCTTGATTTCACCAGAACTCTTGAGAGTACCTCTGGTGAAAGGGATGAAATCTGGACTCCATACCTTGAACCTTAACTCAGTTGCTGAACTAGATCTACTAGCCCCAGTTGGTAAGTTGGCTCCTTGCCTCACCAGTCTTCCTTTCTTCCAGGTGCTTCTGAGCTTTTTTATACCTGCTGTGCCATCTTCTGTGGCTATTTTGTGTAAATTGAAACAGTCTCACCCAGAGGGAGAAGCAAGGTTCATAAGATCCAGGAAGCTGATAAAACTTACAAGGCTCAGAAAGTTCATAAAACTTAGTAGGCTCAAGAAATTCAGGAAGTTTTAATTCCCACAGTCTACTCCCAAGGCTATATAAACTGTAAGCAATTGTTGGGGAAGAAGTTTTCAAGTGGTGCTGACTACAATTTGGGCAGCCATCTCTAGCAATGCATCTTTCAAAAGTCATCATTTACCCCAAGGTGGGTTTTTCAGTGATGTGGCTGCCTTTACACATGGTCCTGCAAATAATCTAAAACCCCTAACTGAGATGAACAGATCCTTGTTCATATTGCTCAAGGAAAAGTCATGCAATACTGGGGTACCTTTCTCTTCCATCTCAGTTGTTATGCTAGGCAAGACCTCCCATGTTGGATCATATCAGAGCTGGTCCACCACGACTGTCTCTCTTCGTGCTCTAAGTGGCCTCTGCCTGGCTCAGCTCCACAGGGCAGAGGATGTATATCTACAACCACTCAGCAGACAACCATTATATCGGACATCTCAGCTCTGGGTGCTATTCTCCTGCACCGGACCACACTGGTGGGTCTGCCTATATGTGTATCTTTAAGCTTCATCCTTGTTGCCATGTGTAGCTATAAATATTTCATTCGATGAATATACCACAAATTATTTATTCAGGTAGAGACACATGTTTTCAAACACAACCTAAGCAGGTAGGTAACAAGGGTAGACGTATTCCACGTAGGCAGAAACCACAAAGCCTGTATATTTTATATACACACCCACACACCTGCCTTAAACAGCTGTTACAGGGCAGATACTCTGTTCCCAATGGTAAGATTAAACTTGACTTGGAATCCAATGCTTGGGCCTCAAAGAAGTCATTTTCCCTGCATATTTGCTAATACTTAGGTGTTGTTTGCTTGTGTTTTTCTCTGCCTTCTGCTTCTATCTTTTAAATGTACTATCTCCTTCATGTTTGAAGCTATAAAATCCATTAGTATCTGTAAGACCTTTTCTTGTCTCATATAAAATGGATTTGGTTAACTTAGGGCTTCTTAGTACTTTACCTTCTGTCTTAAGACTCATCATTTTATTCCCCTGCATAGAACTGTTGAAAGTGTCTACTTTAAAAAAAAAAAAAAAACATCTGCTGGGCAGTGGTGGTGCACACCTTTAATCCCAGCACTCGGGAGGCAGAGGCAGGCAGGTCTCTATGAGTTCGAGGCCAGCCTGGTCTACAGAGCAAGATCCAGGACAGCTAGGGCTGTTACACAGAGAAACCCTGTCTCGAAAACAAAAACAACAAAATGAGTAGTAGGATTACAGACAGTTTAAAAGATTTTTATTAAACACCATGTAACGGAATGCTTTTTTTGTATTTTAGGATTTGTTATTGGGAAAATAACACATTTAAAAAATGATGCTTTAAAAAAGGTCTAGAATTTGACAGCAGTGGCTTTCGATTTATTTTGGACATCATTTCTAATAAGATATGCATATTGGAACTTAGTAAATTCAGCTAGAATAAAGATGTCATGGAATACCATGTTATTTATCTATTCTTTGAGATTTTCTTATGTGTATAATGTATTTTAATCATATTCACCCACAACTCTCCTCAACTTCTCACTGTCCTCTTTTCATGTCATCTTCCCAATATAAATATTTTCTTTCTCTTTCTTTTTCTGTATGACTCACTGAGCCCAGTTCATGCTTCTTGCAGGCATATGACTATAGGCCATCCTCTGCGTGGGTAACATATAAAAGGTTACACCCTTGAAGAAAAATGATTCTCCCTCTCCTAGCATCTATCAGCTGCCAATAGCTTCCAGCCTGGGGTGTCTGGCAAGCCCCTTAACCACCCATCATGGAATGTTTGGTGCAGGCCGTATCCAAGCAACCATACCCAAGTGAGTTCATGACTAGTAATGACTGAATCATTTGCTTATTTGCACCGAGCACCTCAGGCTTACCAGACAAACATTCCTACCACTGAGATACATACATTCTCAGCCATTGTTTATTATTACTACGTGACTCAATAATTTAATTTTGTAAACTACTAGTAGATATTTACCTGCAGTTTGAAAATGCTAATCTGTTTGATCAAATTGGATCTCTCCAGATTTGTCAATATACTCTTGAATGATTAAAAATTAGTCTAATTATTCACTTCTCATTCTTCACAGAAGAAAAGATTGTATTTTTTAGTCTCTTCTTTCCTTGCAATGAAGTCGCAGATACTCAACCTCATGAAGAAACGGGGTCCAGTTGTCTGCTCTTCTTTCTTCAATGCCAAGTTACTGAAGATCCTCTGTTCTGAATGTGTTTATGGGACGGAACAACCACAGGGTCTTTTAACTGTTTTCAGTTTCCAGGAGAAGATTTGTGTTTGGACAGGACTAATTGTGATAATCCCTTAAGGTCAAAACTAGTATTTCATTAATAAAACTTGTTAATTTAAAAACTAAATTAATTTCAAAACTTGGTTTTTCTTCAGTTGCAAGCCTATTAACAATTACACAACAAGCATCTGCCTTAGGCAGAATTGTATCTTTATTCTGATGAAAAAAATCACTAACCATCAAAGAAAATTTCAATTGTGCTTAGCAATACTGTAGCACAACAGTCAGGAGGTGTAGTACCCAGGTCAGAAAGAGTGTTATTGACTTCAACATTGAGAATAGAATTCTAGAATACAGTAGTTCAAAGTAATATTTCTGTTTATTGATAAAAATCTGCTTTTAGAGAATAAATAGCTCTTGTACAAATGCTTAAGTGATTATTATTTATGAAGGATAATATCTTTAAAAGTTTTTTTTTTTTTTCCTTTAGATGAGAAAGCCCCGGTCTGTCAGGATTTCTCCCTTCGTGGTGTTGGAAGACATTTCAGGGTTTTTGTGTCCCCTTTGGCATCCTTGCACACACAAGTTTGTAGGAAGTAAGTATATTGAAGCTTTCATGTGCCATCAAAATTACTTTTGTTAAAGATAATTTCCATATGAAATGAATTTGAACTTTCTCTTCCTTAGATACTTACAACATGTGGTGTTAAAATTTTTGGTAGACATGGGCCTGAGAGCAAAGCCCCAATAATAGTAGCTATAAAATATTCATCAGTATTGCTGATTGTGTCTCCCTCAAATTCCAATATATATATATATGACTCTGAACTTCCAATGTGTCACAATGTGACCTTATTTGGAAATAAATTCCTTGCAGATATGGTAATTTAAGGTGAGATCATATTGGAATAAGGTGGCACTCATCAAACAGGAGTGCTGTCCTTATGAAAAGATACCATGTGGAGAGACAGACATGCACAGAGGGTAAGCAGTGTGAAAGTGCAGGAGAAACAGAAGCACCATCATCATGCCAAGGGATGGCTGAGGCCACCAGAGGCTGGGAGAGTGGAAGAGACGACTGTTTCCCAAAGTCCTCAGAAGGAACCAGCCTTGAGAACCTCTTGGTCTCAGATGAAACTCCAGATCTGCAAGACAATGAGTTTCTGTTGGGAAGCTTGTGGAGCTTTGCTATGGCACTTCAGCAAGTGATAGACTTGGGAAAGCCAGCGAGACAGAAATGTGCCCTGAAAACAGTGCGCAAGAGAGAGCAGGGGTATAAAATGATGGGCGATCGATCTTAGCATCTTTAAACAGATTAACAAGACCAATGTTCACTAAAAAGTGTCATAGTCCAAGACGTTTTTGACCCTCCAGGTTTTTTTGTTTGTTTTGTTTTGTTCTTTTTTAGTTTTTTTATGTGCATATATTAAAAAAAAAAAAACCCTCAAGTCCTACTGATTTCCACACACAAGTTCTAGCACGGTCTCTCCAGGTCTCTGTCCCGACAGTTCTTCTTTCTAGGCTCCATGCGCACTCATCAATAACACACACTCAGTTCCTACTGTGCTGAGAAGCATGCGTAGCTCCAGCTTCCGGAGCATGCCCGAGCCAGAGGTTAAGTCCTGTGACCTGGCTTCAGGAGAGTGGAAACAGGGAACTAAGGCACCTCTCAGGAGGAACACACAAACTGATTTCTGTTAGTCACGAAAGCTTCCCAGATGAACTGACTCAGCTTTGTTGAGATAGGAGAAAGAATGGAGATGAGGAGGAGCAGGCATGGATAGGGGAAAATACAAAATAATTTATTAAAAATAAGACCGTCTATATCAATGACTAGAATAAATGTGGGTAAGTTAGCCATTCTGTTGAAGTAGGGGGCTATATAATTGTCACTACCTTTTTTTTGTTCATTCAAAGTTATTTAATTGTATATATTTATGGCATATGATGTAGTAATTTAACATACAGTATATATTGTTTAAACAAAGTAACACTTTCATTTTCTTGCATATTTATCATTCCTTTGTGATAGGAATCTTCCAATTCCCTTCCTGTACTTATAAATACAATAAAGAAGAGTCTCTGCAAGGAGGATAAAATAGAGTGGAAAGAGCCAGCTAGAACGTTTTCTGTAAGGAATGAGATAATTGTGACTTTGTTTCATGCAGTCTAATTGTGGCTGAGCCAATGGAGGAGTTGAGAAATAATTCAAGGGTAGCTAACTGAAAAGAGTCAGTGACTGACTAGATGCAAGGGTCGGGAGAGAGAGGTTGCTTCTGGGGCTCGGCTTTAGGGTAATAGAAGTGGGTGGGTGTCGAGGTCACTTACTGGGCAGGTCACGCAGGAAGTGGAACAAGACTAGGAAGCAAGGCGATGAGTTCAGCTTTTACGAAAACCTGTGAGGGGTCCAGGAGACATCAGGAGGACCAGCTTTTCTCAAGCTCCTCCCCGTTTGCTTTTACCGTCAGCATACGCTCTTGTCCATCATTCTCTGTTTGCTTCACGTAAAGAAAGGTCTGCGCATGTCGGGAGTGTTGCTTTGTCATTGCAGCAGGGAGCTGAGAAGTTGATTTTGCGATTATCCACACGCACTCTTGTCTCAAACAGGATTAATTTCTCTAAACTCAAGGAGTGCTTAAAGCCATGGAGCAGGTCGTGTCTCTAACGGACACGAGAGCTCCAGGCACAAGGCCAGGCTCACTTCTTTCTTCATCACTGTAACACAGCTCTTCTAGAATGTCTCTGATGGTGCAGATAAGAACACTCAGAGGCTGGGTGGTGGTGGCCCACGCCTTTAATCCCAGCATTTGGGAGGCAGAGCCAGGCAGATCTCTGTGAGTTCGAGCCCAGCCTGATCTACAGAGATCCAGGATAGGCACCAAAGCTACACAGAGAAACCCTGTCTCAAAAACCACAAAAAGGAACCACATTGGGACTCCTCAGTTTCTCTCTTGTACTGTTTTCCTTCCTGTATAGAAAGTGTTTCCTTGGAAACAACATAATAGACCCCCTCAATGAAGTTTGCTTATACTTAGTGATGAATTGAGAGGCTAACAGAGTTTGTTTGGGACATGGTATTGAATGATGAATGATGCTGACATCATCCGTTTGGTGGCAGTCCTCCTTGAAGACGCTTCCCCATTGTTAAGAGCAATCCTTGGGTGTGGTCCTGACCAGCTGTGTGATCCTGGGCAGGTGATCTAATCTCATTTTCTTTAATTGGCTCACAAAAACACAGAATCGTGAAGATTCAAGGAAATATGTGTGGATTCATTTGTCCCAGTACCTAACATAGTAAGCATTTAACAAATGTCAAATTCTCTTCCCCAGCTAACTGTTTTAGGGTTGAATACTGTGCTGGCAGCCAGAGGGTAAAAGTGGAGGCACAATAACAGTGTAAATGCCCTTACCATCTTAGGTAGGGCCTTACAAGTTCCCTTCAATAAAAAATTTCCAGTCGTGTAGAGTGGCCAGGACAATGTCACACATGCTAGCAAGCAGTGTGGTGTTCTTACACAGGAGGTTTGTCGTGTCCTCTGTGCCTTGGCTGCTTGCGATTATTTGCTCTGGGCATTGCTCATTCCAATAAAGAGGTGCCATTGACCTTCTGGTGACTTTGAGACAACAATAGGAAATAATCTTCCTACCACTGCCTACTCCCACCTCCTGCCATTAAAGCCAGACATCATAGTATCACTATTTACACCTGAGCCAAAATGACCAAGACAGTATCTATAGAGCTCTAGAACCACTTAGTTTCCTTCCCTGATGTGATGGGAATCTGGTTTCTGTTGTTATATTTATTCTCTTGGTTGCTGTTTTCAATGCCTTTCTCCTGGGAGACTTAGTCATGAGTCTACAGGCTCTAAGTCAGAGGAAAATTTGATTAACTATTGTCACAGCAGAAGTCTTTACTTCCTTCTTACCATTGAATCTTTGTCTTCAGGTCAGTATGTTTATGTGAAACCTCTATTCTTAGTGGTACGTTATTTATTTTTTTTAAGAACTATTTTCAAATTCTCATGAAAACCAAATTTCCCCTCTCAGTTTTCTTAGGATCATACCTTCATCCTCTCAGATGTCTAAATATGAATACCTCTCATGTTATCATCGAGGATCCTGCTGTAGCTTCCCATAGAGAAGGATCTTTAGACTTTTCCTGTGAAGTTGGGCAGGGAGAAGATGGAGGAGCCTTATGAAATGATTGTGAACATGAGAGAGTGGGACTATGGGACCCTGAATGTGGGTAGTGGATGCTGGAAATGGATGCTGGTGTCTTAACAGAGGACCAGACAGAAGTAACCAGTGGCTGTGTGGAAGAAGAGACCCTGAATTTTGCCACGGTGATGCTGAGTTTTCTGGGAAATCTGTGCCCACAAATTTATTTGTGCAGTAAAAATTGAAATTTTTTCATCTTTAATACAAGGTTTCAGAGACCTGAATTTTCACCTTACCCCCTTTAAACCACCAGGTCTCTAAATTCCTTGGTCAGCACTGGGATTAATCCCCTCTTAATTTTCCTCTAGGTACCAGGCTAGCAAAAGAGTTGCTATACTTACCTATTTCACACCCATGGAGAATGGTGTCATGGACATGCTAATTCTCACAGACACACTCCTAGGGCAGTCTGTCTTGGAGGAAGAAGGGAAGAACTTTGGGATTTCTTAGGGATAAGAGAGAGATGCTGTTCTCAGCATCCAGATTTCTGTCAAAGGTGCAGTCTTCCTCTGCCCAAGGTGAGTCTGTTGGCCAGTTTTTAATGTCAACTTGACACAAGCTAGGGTCATCTGGGAAGAAGGGATATTAATTGAAAAAAAATGACTCTATAGAAATGACCTGTAGGCAAGTCTATAGGGCATTTTCTTGATTGACAATTGATGTGGGAGGGCCCAGCTCACTGTGAGTGGTGCCACCCCTGGCAGGTGGTTCCGGGTGGTGTACGAAAGCAGGCTGAGCAAACCATGAGGGAGCAAGGAAGCAAGCAAGCAGAACTCTTCCAGGACCTCTGCATGAGCTACCGCCTCCAGGTTCCTGCCCTGTTTAAGTTCCTGGTCTTACTTCCCTTGGTGATAGACTGTTGTGTGGAAATATTAACTGAAATAAACCCTTTCCTCCCCAAGTTGGTCACAGCTTTTTATAACAGCAATAGAAACTCCAAGTAAGACAGTGAGGAACACCATGAGTTAGGAATTGAAAAGCCAGTTTTCCCTCAATCTATTTAGGCTCTAGATTAAAAAAAAAGAGAGATTTTATTTTATTTGTGTGTATGACTGTGTCTGTGTTTGTACACCCCCGTGTGTGTGGGTGTCTCTGAGCCTGACCCTGAGCATGGTGCTGGGAACTGAACTTTGATCCTTTAAACTTTTAACTGCTGAGGAACCTCTACTGCCCTCTAGATTTAGATAATTAGTGGTATATTAGAAGGCCCATTCCTGTGATAAGAAATTGAACGTTGATGCAAATGAGCACAGGGGCAGCTTTGAGAGATGCTCTCAAAGGGTCTCCAGCACCTTTCAGTTGTCCTGTCTTATTCTTTGCCAATGTCCTTGTACTGGCCTTTGGTTACAGTCCTTGTGCTGGCCTTTGGTTACATAAATAGACTCATCTCCAAGACTGGCCTTCAAAATTCAGTGGCTAATGAATCAGATTGTCTTGTTCCTAGAGGACTGAAGACAATGGCTGTCCTAATAAATGATTAATAATGATAAACATGGTTTAGCCAATGGCTGGCATCATGATTTTCATATAATTATACAAAACATAATACATCTAGTCTACAGCAGGTATATTTCTTTTGTTAACCTATATTAAGTGGCCCCAACTACACTGAAATATAACCAAAGTCATAGAGAACCACGTAACTGGAAATCTCCTTTAGCTGCACGGACGTGGACCTCTCTGACTGAGCATGTTTTCACTATACTAGATGCCCAAAGCACTGTCAGTGAAATCTGTTATGGAGAAAAGTTCTGAAGTAGGAACTCTGTGGAAAACAGTGCTTCCAGGTGGGCCTCATGAGGCCAGTACTTGCAGCAGGGTTTCATTAGGCGAGACAACCAGGCAGTCCCTCCACACATTTGGCTTGTACAGCAGCGCTCAAGGGCATTTCGGAAAACTTTCTCACAGCTTTTTCTCATGTTTGTAAAACACTCAGCAAGCCTCAAACACCAGTTCTGTCTGCCATCTCTCCATCTCCCTCAGGACTACTGGCTCCTGCTTTCATCCTGGCTAACACCTACCTTCTGTGGTCATCATTCTGAAGTACTGCTTGCATCTTATCTAACACCAATTTTCTGTGGTCATCAGTCTGAAGATGCCTCTCATTCCCAGTCAAGATGATGGGCACATGGAGACAAAGGTACTTGACTTTGGGAGGGCTGTCCCCCTGCCGGGATGACTATATAAATTATTAGGACTGGAGAAACACATCAGTACAATACCAATGTTGGGATTAGAGAGGTACTCTGGTTGTCATAAACTTCCTGTCCAACCGTGACCCATAACACCAGCTCTACTTGCTTTCTGTCTACTTAGAGACCACCACATCATTCTCAGACCATGAGCACATACACCTCTAGGTCTGATCCTTTCTGAGAAGATGAGCAAGCATCTTGCCAGAAGCTTCATTGACAGCAATCACCACTTTCTTTTGGAGAGAGCACTTCTTACAAATGTTCTACAAGGTACAGGTTTGGACAAGAAGTTTAAGAGTGTACCTTAAACTTCTCCGAGTGAAGGTACACACATTGACCCTGAGTTCCATCTCTTTGCATTGAAGTTGCCTCTTTGCCCATCACAAGTTTGGTGAAAATGATTCACTGCTCAAGAAGAGACTGAGGGATGGAGAAATAGCTCAGTGGTTAAGAGCACTTGCTGTTCTTCAAGGGGATCCTGGTTCAGTTCCTAGCATACAAGTGGTGGCTAACAACCATTTGTAACTCCGGTTTCAGGATACCTGACACCCTCTTCTGACCTCTGTGGGTACCCAAGCATACATGTGGTACACATACATAAATGTATCTTATACATAAAATAAATAAATAAATCTAAATTGAAAAAGAAGAGACTGAACCGGAAAGAGAGTTGACAAAGGATGATGGATTCTGCAGAAGCAGGTGATTTCTGTCCCCTCCATTGCTCAGTGTGGTGGGGGTGAGACTGTGTGGAGGTTCCCAGGAGACAGGACTATTCTCTGCTCTGGAGTGAGTTTATCTGACGCTGTCTTTAACTGCCACCTGCCACAGTTCTGATAAGCATCAGAGAATAAATCAACATTTGCAAAGCACATTAATTGATTTATTTTCTTCCTTTAAAAAATATGTAACATTATTAAAACTGAGTGCGTTGTATGGAGGAGCCTGGATTTAACATGGTGTTCTCAAGAATGAATTGTTCCTTCCTCTCTGCTTATAGAAATGCTCAATTGCAATAAAAAACAATGAGCCCCTGTGTCCTCCTAATCTCCTTATGTAAGGGCAGCATGTAATGGCTGGGATGTGGACCACAGAAAACCAGCAACATGATCCTGTCCGACCTATGGTGGCTGCATTGGGAAGACCAGTCTGTGTTCTCACCTAGTCAAGTATTCTCCCTCGTAATTTCTGCCTGGGCCAAATTATATGTAGTTTAAAGCATCTTGTCTCTTCAAACCACAAGAAAGAAGTAATTCCCCACCGATACTATTGGACATTTCTTCACATTCATTGAATTCATTGAGACCCAAGGGCCTTCATCATAGAGAGGACTTTTTCAAGTAAATTTGTTATATTCCACTCTTATGTTCCTTGGTCACAGTTCACTATTCGACATTACTCTCTTTTATGTGCACATTTCCTTTTGTTCAACAAAATAAGCTGGCTTTTAGCCTGGTCACTATTCAAGTAGAGTGAAGCACATTCTCAACTCTTACCTATTTTCCCAGAGCCTTGAGTCAGCTTCTCCGAGTCTTAAATAAGATTTTCTTTTCTTTTCTTTCTTTTTTTTTTTTTAGAGTTTAATTGGATAGCTACATATGTCTAGATAGTGGAGGAAAAAACTTAACATGAAATTTTTATTTTATTTTTCATACCAACTGAAGGGTTCACAACAAACCCCCACGGTCGGACGTGTTTGCATATGCCCGGCAGACACTTCTGCCTAGCCGGTTCCAGGTCAGGATAGTCATTTCCGGGTCAGGGCGTCTCTCATAACCAGGATGCCAGGCGGACCTGGACACTTCCGCCTAGCCAGTTCCAGGTCAAGATAGTCATTTCCGGGTCAAGGCGTCTCGCATGACCAGGATCCGTGACGTTTCATGGCACCGTAAGCGTGCAACATGGCCATGTGATCTACGCACATGTGTGGAGTAGTGACATGACCTGTGCACGCCCAGCCTTAAAAAACAAGCGCCATGTTCCCTGTTCCTTCTTCTTCTCCACACATGTGTCTCTCCCACAGGCCTGTGCACTCTCTCTCTTTATCTTTAATAAAACTCTTATTAGTGGATTCTGTCATGTTTCGTGACATTTCATTGCAGGGTAAGAACACAACGTGGACAAATAACTAACACCAACCACAGTTCCCCCTCCCTCCCCTCTGTCCGTTCCACCCCCACCTCCCCCCCCCCCACCGCCATCCACTCCTCAGAGAGGGTAAGGCCTCCCATGGGGAGTCAACAAAGCCTGGCATGTCAAGTGGAGGCAGGACTGAGCCCCTCCAACTTGCATCAAGGCTGAGCCAGATGTCCCACTATAGGGAATGGGCTCCAAAAACTAGTTCATGCATCAGGGATAAATCCTGGTCCCACTGCCAGAGGCCCCACAAACAGACCAAACCACACAACTGTCACCCATATTCAAGGGCCTAGTTCAGTCCCATGCAGGCTCCACAGCTGTCAGTACAGGGTCCGTGAGGTCCCACTACCTCGGGTCAAATTCTCTGTGGGTTTCCCCATCATGATCTTGACTCTTCTTGCTCATATAATTCCTCCTCCCTCTTTTCAATCTGATTACAGGAGAAGGCCAGTTTAGGCACCCTCTCCACTATTGCTAGGAGTCTTAGCTGGGGTCATCCTTGTGGATTCATGGGAGTTTCCCTTGCACCAGGTTTCTCCCTAACCCTATAATGGCTCCCTCTATCAAGATATCTCTTTCATTGCTCTCTCTCTCTCTGTCCCTCCCTGAACTCAACCATCCTTTTACCTCATGTTCTCATCCCCCATTCCTTCCCCACCCCCATGCCCTCCTGCCCAGTTTACCCAGGAAATCTTATCTATTTCCCCTTCCTAGGGCAAACCATGTATGTCCCTCTTAGGCTCCTCCTTGTTACCTAGCTTTTCTGGGGCTGTGGATTGTGGCCTGGTTAAACTTTCTTTTACATCTAATATCCACTTATGAGTGAGTACATATCATGTTTGTCTTTCTGGGTCTGAGTTACCTCACTCAGGATGATTTTTTTCTGGTTCCATCCATTTGCCTGCAAACCTCATGATGTCATTGCTTTTTACTGCTGAGTAATACTCCATTGTGTAAATGTACCACATTTCCTTTATCACTTCTTTGGTTGAGGGGCATCTAGATTGTTTCCAAGTCTGACTATTATGAATAATGCTGCTGTGAACATAGTAGAGCAAATGTTCTTGAGGTATGACTGAGCATCTTTTGGGTATATGCCCAAGAGTGGTATCACTGGGTCTTGAGGTATATTGATTCCTAATTTTCTGAGAAACCAGCATACTGATTTCCAAAGTGGCTGTACAAGTTTTCACTCCCACCAGCAGTGGAGGAGTGTTCCCCTTACTCTACATACTCTCCAACATAAGCTGTCATCTGTGTTTTTCATCTTAGCCATTCTGACAGGTGTAAGATGATATCTTATAGTTGTTTTAGTTTGCACTTCCCTGATGGCTAAGAATGTTGAGCAATTCCTTGAATGACTTTTGGCCACTTGAGGTTCTTCTGTGGTGAATTCTTTGTATAGATAAGTACCCCATTTTTAATTGGATGATTTGGTATTTTGATGTCTAGTTTCTTGAGTTCTCTATATATTTTGGAGATCAGCTAAAACCAGCTCTCAGGACTGCACCCAGGGTTGCAAAAAGAATGATTTTCAGAGTAGTGGGACTTTAGAAAAATTTCTTAAAGACTCAGACACAAACTGAGTGTCATGTACTTTATTTTTCCAGCTCTAATTCTCTTCTGCTCTACTGTTCACACAGCACATATACAAATTCAACAACAAGTTTTTGGAAATAAAAAAGGTTACAAAGTTTATTTCTCAGGGTCATAATGCATTCCTTGAGCAAACAATAAGGGGGCATAGTCATTTATCATGGCAACCCATAGGCAGAGACATGGTGTTTGGCACTTTCTTAGGCAGTGGCATTGGAAGCATCCCAAACCTATATATAAATATACATATATATATATATATATATATTTATGTATATGTATAAATATATGTATATTTATCCTGCTTGCAGCCCCAGATCACAAGAAAGGGAACTTGTAACTCTTTATTCAGGTCTGAGGCCAGACCATCTTCTGTAGCCCTGGCTAATTGTAAAACTTTTCCTGATGTTTGCTGGACATAAAACTATTTTTCTCTGGACTTGGTTAATTGATTGTTATTTGGGACCTAAACAATAAACAGCTATTTAGCAGACCCTTGAATCTTGTATTAAAAATCTGATGTTAGAAGTTTGTGCAGGGAGCTAATTGTTTGGGAATTTGTGTAGGGCATTAGGTCTTTATCTGCCAGACTTAGCAAACAGGGAAGTAGCACCAAAATTGCTTTGTGTCTGACCTTGGTTCCACAATTAGACATTTGGGAATTTGTCTTTGTGCATTATTTGAAGGGGCAACTAGTTTATTTTGGATTTGAAAAAGCTGTCTTTGTAGCTGAGAATACTGTCATTTTCCTATGTCAGTCTGAGTAATGAAAAATATCCTAATATTATTTCTGTTCATCAAAATTATACAGTTTAAGAAGAAATCATCTTCCTGACCATCCACAGCTATATGTGTGCCCAGCAGATAGGGTATATTTACAAGATAATCACACAAAACAGTGGGGGAAATGCCCATAGCTGTTTTTAGGGAGGAAATGCAGTGGTACATGAGAAAAATTACAGACAGAAACAACTAGTTTTCAGAATCTGTGGTTCCATAAGCCTTTTCTTGCTTGATGGGTTTCCTCCATCAGAGAATTATTTACCTAGTGGGTCAACACCTGAACTATCAATTGCTATCTTCTGTATATTTCCATGGCCTCTGGCATTAAGCTCTCTGTCAGATGTAGTGTTAGTAAAGATCTTTTCCCATTGACTGCCATTTTGTCTTGTTGACCATTTCCTTTGCCTTTCAGAAACTTCTCAGTTTCAGGAGGTTCCATTTATTAACTGTTGCTCTCAGTGTCTGTGCTACCGGTATTATATTTAGGAAGTGGTCTCCTGTGCCAATGCACTTCCCACTTTCTCTTCTATCAGGTTCAGTGTAACTGGATTTATGTTAGGGTCTTTGACCCAGTTGGACCCCAGTTTTGTGCAGGGTGATAGACACATATTTATTTGCACTCTTTTGCACACCTACATCCAGTTAGATAGACCAGCACCATTTGCTGAAGATTGTTTCTTTTCTCCATTGTATGATTTTGGCTTCTTTGTCAAAAATCAGGTGTTCATAGGTGTGTGTTAATACCAGGGTCTTCAATTCAATTCCATTAATCCACGTGTGTTTTTATGCCAATACCAAGCTGTTTATATTACTATATCTCTATAGTGGAGCTTGAAGTCAGGGATGCTGATGCCTCTAGAAGTTCCTGTATTGTATAGGATTGTTTTGGCTATCCCGAGTTT